CATTACAACCCGATATTTTTCCTTGATGTCGTGCCAGTGTACTAAGTGCAGTCGGGGCGATTCGATTTCCACCATTACACCCGATATTTCCTTATTGTCGTGCCAGTGTACTGAAGTGCATGTGGTGGCGATTCGACTTTCCACCGATGTACAAAACCCGATATTTCCTTGATGTCGTGCAGTGTACTGACTAGTGCCAGTGGTGGCGATTGATGTCCACCGATTACAACCCGGATATTTCCTTGATGTCCCCGGTGCCATGTACTGAAGTTGCAGTGGTGATGATTCGATTCCACCGATTGCAAGCCGCACTACTCCAAATCAGAAGAGTAAATCTGTTAAATCTTTGGTTGCAAAAAATTTAAGTGGTCACCTCATAAATGTCCGCTAAAATACAGCGCCTGTATTCAGACGATGTAAGAAAAGTCAACACAATTGTGTCTGGAATAAAGGCAGATGTTGCTTGTTTTTGGGTGAGCGTTACGTAATTAAGAAACGTCGACGTTCGGCCACCTCGGTATTGAGGTCCAGCACTTGGGCGTCTACGTGGGGGGGGGGGGCTTTTGGACTTCCCAGTCGTCACTAACTGGTTTGTGAGGAGTCTCCAGTACACTGAGCGTCCCAGACCGTCCGGACGTGGCACTGGGCCTCTCATCAGCCTCGACGACCTCCGAATTAAGTCGGAGTCCACGTTTGAGTATGGGAGGAAGGACCGGTGTAAATTGGTCGAGGGTGTAAGGAGGACCTTGAGGGTCTGACGAGAAGTACCCCAGCTGAGTTTTCGGAAGACTGTAAAAGGCGGACAGAAACAGGACAATTTTGACGTGATGCTCTCGGTCGTGACGTGAAGTCATGTGACCGTGCTGTAGTTCCTTTATAGCCGAACATAAGCTACCTTTAGCTTAGCGGTGGTGACGTAAAGTCATGTGACCGTGCTGTAGTTCCTTTATAGCCCAACATTAGCCGCCTTTAGCTTAGCGGTGGTGACGTGAAGTCATGTGACCGTGCTGTAGTTCCTTTATAGCCCAACATTAGCCGCCTTTAGCTTAGCGGTGGTGACGTGAAGTCATGTGACCGTGCTGTAGTTCCTTTATAGCCCAACATTAGCCGCCTTTAGCTTAGCGGTGGTGACGTG